CCAAATTAATAAAAATTAGAGATAAAAAGGAAAAAAACCACTACAGGAATCACAGAAATCCAGAGGATTAATGATTAATTAGGGATTGTTTTGAAAACTTATACTTCACTAAGTTGGAAAGCCTAGAAGTAAAAGATATGTTTCTAGACACATACAACCTGCCAAGATTTAATCAAGAGAACATAGAAAATCCAAACAGACCAATAACCAACAATGAGAGAAGCAGTAATAAAAAGGCTTCCAACAAAGAAAATTCTAGTATCAGATGGATTCTCAGCTGAACTCTATGAAACCTTTAAAGGAGAGATAATGTCAGTACTCCTCAAATTATTCCATGAAATAGAAAGGGATTTAACACTTCCAAATTTATTCTCTGAAGCAGTATCACCCTCATACCAAAACTAGATAAGCACACATCAAAAGAAAATTATAGACTAATATCCCTGATGAGCTCAAATGCAAAAATACTTAACAAAATATTAGCAAATCACATTCAACAACATATCAAGAAGATTGCACATCATGATCAAGTTGGTTCTATCCCGGGGATGCAAGAATGTTTTAACATATGCAAATCAGTAAGTGTCTGGCATCACATAAATACAATCAAGGGCAAAAATCACTAAGTCATCTCAACAGATGCAGAGAAAGCCTTCCACAAAATTTAGCGCCCATTAATGATTTAAAAAACACTGAGGAAACTAGGATTAGAAGGAAAACACCTCAACGACACAAAGGTTATATGTGACAAACCTAAAAACATCATAGTGAATGGGAACAAGCTGAAAGCATTTCCTTTAAAATTTGAAACAAAATAGGAACGTCCACTCTTACCATCCCTATTCAACATAGTACTAAAAATTCTATCCTGAAAAATTAGGCAAGAGAAGGAAATAAAATGGATAAAAATAGGAAAGGAAGAAGTCAAATTATGACTGTTTGCAGATGATAAAATCACAAAAGATACACAAAAGGCAAAAGAATGTATGAAAAAATGCTCACTTCCTAGGTCATCAAGGAAATGCTAACGAAAGCAACAATAAAATACCACCACACACCTATGGAAATGGCTAAAACCTGGAACACTGACAACACCAAATACTGGCCAGATGTGGAGGAAGAGGCCCTCCCATTCCCTGCCAATGGAAATGGAAAAGGGTACGAGACAGTCTGGTGATTTCTTACACAACTAAACATACTCTTAGCAACCAACAGCCACACTCATTGGTATTCACCCCCCAAAAAAAACTGAAATCCTGTTCATTCTAAAATCTGCACACTGATATTTGTAGAAGCTTTGTTCAGGATTGCTAAAACTCTGAAGCTGTCCTTCTTCAGGAGGTGAATGGATAAAACTGTGATACATAAAAACAATGGAATACTAGTCAGCACTAAAAAGAAATGAGCTAACAAGACATAACAAAGCACAGCAGAAATTTAAATACATATTACTATGCAAAAGAAGCCAATCTGAGAAGCCCACATACTATTGGATTCCAACTATATGACATTCTGGAAAAGACAAAATTATGCACACTGCAGAAAGGTCAGTGCTTGTCAGGCTGTTGGAGAAAGGAATGGATGAATAGGCAGAGCCCAGAAGAATTGTAGGGGAGTGACAATATTCTGTTTAATACTACAATGATAGATACATGTCGCATTATACCTTTGTCAGAACTCGTAGAATATACAACATCGAGCATGAATTCTGCCAGGCACAGTGGCGCATACCTTGGGAGGTTGAAACAGGAGGATTGCAAGTTCAAGGCCAGACTTAGTAACTCAGTAAGGGCCTAAGTAACTTAGCAAAATTCTGTTTCAAGTTTTTAAAATAAAATTAATTGTGTTGGGGCCTGGCTTAGTGGTAAAGTGCCCCTGGGTTCAATCCCCACTTCCCCACGACTGGAAGGGAAGGGAAGGGAAGGGAAGGGAAGGGAAGGGAAGGGAAGGGAAGGGAAGGGAAGGGAAGGGAGAGAGGAAGGAAGGAAGGAAGGAAGGAAGAGAGGAAGGAAGAAAAACCCACTTCCCCACTATAAGAAAGAAAGAGGGAGGGAGGGAAAGAGAGAGTGAGGAGGAGGAGGAGGAGGAGAAGGAGGAGGAAGAGGAGGGGGAAAGGAAAAAAGCAGGGGAAAGAGCGACCCCTCCTGGCTGGGGATGTAGCTGGGTGTAGAGCACTTGCTTAGCATGCAAAAAAAAAAAAAAAAAGCCCTGATTCATCCCTGGAACTGAAGAAACAAAGGAAGTAAACCTAATGCCCTATGTAGACTGTGGACTTTGGGTAATAACAATGTGTCCACATAGGTTCATCATTTGTAACAAATATATCACTTTGGGTGGAGACCTTGACCATCAGAGAAGCTACCCATGTGCTGGGACAGGGAACACATGGGAAATCTCTTTAATTTTGCAGTGAATCCAAAATTGCTCTAAAAGTCGGGTTTTAAAAAAAAATAGGCAAAAAAGATAAATGAAATCATGTCATTTGCAGGGAAATGGTTGGAATTTATGACCATTGTATTAAGCAAAATAAACTAAACTCAGAAGGTCAAGGGTGGTATGTTTTCTCTCATATATAGAAGCTAGAGAGGAAAAAGATGTTATTTACATTAAAAATACAGATTAAGTATTTATTTGATAAGTCCATAACCTGACTTATCAAATAAATACTTAATCTGTATTTACAAACAGGGCTGGGGAGCAGGGATCTGATGAAAATCAAAGAGAGATCAGTAAAGGGACCAGAGGATGGGTGGGGGGTGTAGGGAGAAAATGCTGAAGGGTGATATTGACCAAATTGTATTGTTATATAGCATGTGCAAATATGTAACAATAAATCCCATTATTATGTACAACTATAATGCACCAATTTTAAAATGTGGAAAGGAAAAATAAGATTGTAAAATTTTTTAACTCTTTAAAAATTCAGGCAGATCAAAAGACACCAGCCAGGCATGGTGGCTCACGCCTATAGTCACAGCAGCTTGGGAGGCTGAGACAGGAGGATCACCAGTCTCAGCAAAAGCAAGGTGCTAAGCAACTCAGTGAGACCCTGTCTCTAAATAAAAATAGGGCTGGGGATGTGGCTCAGTGGTCGAGTGCCCCTGAGTTCAATCCTTGATACAAAAAAAAAAAAAAAAAAAAAGACACCAGATCAAAAAAGTAAAAACTGTATGATTTTATTCACATAAAAATTCTGAACAGAAAAATAATATATAATCCATGGAAAATTAAGTCAGAAAGTGGTTAACAAGGATAAGGCAGGCAGAGGGAAGACTGACCAGAAAGTGTCACCAACAGTGACCCTCTGAGGTAATGGAAATGTTATAAGTCTTATTTTGGATGGTGGCTGATCAGGTTATGAATTTATCAAATAAATACTTAATCCGTATTTTTAATGTAAATAACATCTCAAAAATATACTGGATTTTTAAATGGGTCCATAACATACATATACACAACATTTTCCCTAAAATTTTCATATTCCCAGACCTCAAGGATCATAAAATCCAGATTCAGAACCCCTGGATTTCCAGGGGTGCATGCCTGTAATCCCAGCAAGTTCAAGGCCAGCCTCAGTAACTTAACGAGGCCTTAAGCAGTTTAGCAAGACCCTATCTCAAAATAAAAATTAAAAAGGGCTGGGGTTGTGGTTCAGTAGTAAAGTGCCTCAGGATTCAATCCCCAGTACAAAATAAATAAATAAAAATCATGGATTAAATGATTTCTAAAGCCTTCTGTTATCTCCTATTCACTGAAGCAAAAATCCACATCTGGAATCACAATGCCATCACAGAGTCAAAGGGAAAATGACTGTCCCAAATCCTCTGACTCCCATGTCACTTACAATGTAAAGCAAGAAACACTCACGCTTATCTTTCTTGAAAGTCAACTGCAAATGTCAGGGTCTCCACTGTGGCCCGGTGGAGCAGATGGGAGTCAAGGAACTCATCACAAACCTGGACTGGAGAAGTCCGCTAGCCAGAAGACACATGCCATGAGACAGACGCCCTCGCTGACAGCCTCCACCTTACCAACAAGCCAAAGAACCCTCGGGGGAATCTGGGGACCAGTCAGTCCAACTGTCTACTCTCCAAGATCAGCACGTTGAGTCCTGGAGGAGGCGGAGTGGCTTAAATTCAAACAGCAGGTTAGTAGCAGAGCCTGGATCAGAACCTGTCTTAGGGGACTTCATTGTCAGAGACCCTGTCTGGCCAGTCTATTTTTCTAGAACCTTCTTCTTCCTCCCATTCAGCACAAGGCTGTAGCAGAATTTGCTATGCTCGTTTATGTAACCCAACTTAGCTGGCCCACATTTCATGGGTCCAGATGTGAGCAGAGACTTTGGTTATGCCAATCTCTCCCACTTCAGAGAGAGAAAATGAGAGAGGGGAGAAGAGAGAAGCAGGAGGCGACAGGAAGAAAGACTCCCTCCCATGTTAGATACTTACACTACACCTACAAACTTAGGAGCGACTGGCAGTAGCCACAATCTGCCCCTTTGTCCAGAAAATCCATAAATCAGAGAGGTTCCCAGAGACCAGAGCTGCTGATTGGCCTCTGGATTCTCTCATTGAGCTAAGGGAGGGTTCAAAGAGAATTTAAGGAGCCAATTAGTGCAAGGACCATAAAACGGATGGAAGGAAAATTAAGCATAATGGCCGCATCTAAGTTGATATGTTGTCATATGAACAAAATAAGAAAGAAATACCTCTGAAGATGAGATTCTTTATTCTTAGGCAAGGATGTTTTAAAAAGATATGACGATCACACAGCTATTTATATTAGCCAAATCTTGGGAATCACGTAAATAAGAGAACTGTTAAATAAATGTTGATATAGCTCTGTGATAAAATATTACACAAATATGAAATATTCTGTTCTAGAAGCATATTTAATGACCTATTCATTGCTTCTAATATAATGCCAGGTATAAACAGCAGAATACAAAACTAAGTAAAACAGAATCATTTCAATTTTATAAAAATACACCCACCTATTTATATTTAGCTGTCCAGGAAAAAAAAAAAAAAGACTGGAAGGAGAAAATGTGTTTATAGATATTTATCTCCAATGAGTCAGATTATGTTTTGTTCCAATTGGTCCCTGGGTACCTAAGAGAATTAAGGAGAGAAAAGCAATTTATTCCACTTCCACCTGATCTACCCAATTAAATTACATTCACTATGTTTTCGGTTTCATTAAGAAGGGACTTGTCTACAATAGTGACAAAGAAGGAAGAGTCGGCACCAACCCTGTGTCTTTCTGAGTGTTCCACCGCTGTCCAGCAGAATCTTCTCGAGCTCCTAAACTCGGCTCTCCAGGTATCGTGGCTAGGTGGTTGCAACATAACCGCCTGCCACAATTCCAGTTTGCCTTGCTGCTGGGGTCCTGCCAGAAATGCTTGTTCTGGAGAAACCAAAGTGGTCAAAGTGGCTCTCAGGACGCCACCTAGTGAAGTGGGTGTGGCCTGTAGCATCTCAGCTGACACCTGGGCTTTGTTTTCTCATAATACTTACTCTGCTCAGCACTAGTCTCCCTGTCACAAAACTGTCTCTGCAGAAGCTGGGGTGTTGCTTACACTGACTATTACTCATAAGCAGGATAACACTGAAAGCTTTTAACAGCTTGATTGACACATCCACCATCCCCTCTATGCCAATTAGAACAGGCACAGGCAATAGGTCTGGAGCAGTGTTCTGGAGGCCCTGGCTTTACTTGACATTCACCTTTTGATTGTTGGATCAGGGGAAGGGCCAGTGAGGTGATCCTTGGAGAGGAACAGGGTGAAGGGAGTCATAGAGACAGAGCACTAGAAACTCAGAGTAGCAGTAATTGCTAACTGTATGGATGTAATTTTAATAACCATTTCAGGGCACAGGCCTACCCACAAACCTGTGTAGGAGGAGTTTCTTCTCCAGACCCTATATATTAAGAAAGAGGCATTTTTTTCATTGCTGTGACAAAATACCTGAGAAAAATAATGTAGAGGAGAAAAGATTTACTTTGGCTCACAGTTTCGGAGATTTCAGTCCTTCATCACTTGGCCCTGTTGCTGTGGGCCTGCAATGAGGCAGAGGATCATGGTGGCCAGGAAGCAGAGAGAAAGGAAGGAGCCGAGGACAAGGTAGAGGCCCCAAGGACACACTCCCCAAAGGCCCACTCCTCCAACCAGCTCCTGCCTCCTGCAGTTCCATTACCTTCCAAAACTTCGTTCAAATTATGAATGTACTGACGGATCCATCCACTGATGAAGTTAGCGCCCTCATCACCCAATCATTCATCAAAAGCTCCACCTTTGAACATTGCTATCCTGAGGCCCAAGCCTTCAACACAGGGGACTTTGAGGGACATTCCAGATTCAACCCATAAAAGGCAATGTTCTCTACACCCATCAGAACTCCACATGAGCAAACCCTCAACGCCTGTCCTCAACACCTGCCCTCAACACCTGCCCTCAAGGCCAACTCCATTCGGGCTCAGGGAGGCAGGTGTGTTCTTTCCTGGGTCCTCCAACAAAATGTGACGGAGTCCACGTATCGCCAGGGCACGGGGGTCGTGCCCCTGCTGACATCAAGGGAGGTGATTCAGCTGTCAGGGGTTTGTATGGTGGGAGAGCTCAGGTGAGAGAGGAGAAAATTGATTTATTTTCCACAACCTTCCACAAAGATGGCATGAATATAATCAACTATTGAATAACGAAATACCATTGCCTGGTGGTGCTGAGTGTCTCTGGTGTTCTGTCTTGTCTTACTTCTCTCTGTTCTAATATGTATTGCAGAGTCATTCGCAGGTTGGCATGGTCTCTCATAACCGCACACAGCAGCTAAGGAGTGCTGGCCACGCTCAACAAGTCTTCCGTGTGTGCTGTCGTGGGAAGGTGTCTGGAATGCAATGAAGATAAACGAAAGGCAGCTCCTTCGCTCTACCCTGGCGTGGTGTGTGTGCCTGTCTCCACTCCTTCCTGTGTCCTCCTTCGAGACTCTCAGGATCAAGCAATTCCTGGCCAAGATACAGAAGCAAAATTGCTCATTCACCTGTGGATTTGGATGAGCACTGGCAGGAGAGTCAGGTTCCACTCCAAGAGGAGACATAGGAGAAGGACCCAGCTGGGCCCAGGAGGACTTGCTCATGGCAGGACATGCCCATTTACACTATAGCAAGGTCACTGTCATTATGCCATATCAAGCTGAAAAGCCACCACTCTCTGGACAGGTGGACATGTTTTACGGGGAATATGATTTTTCTCTTTGTTTCTACACTCTGCATTAGTAGGTCAGTTTGGTAATAAATACATGAACACTTTCTTCTGGGAAAAAAAAAACAAGGTGTAGAACAGTGTGTTCATCTTGATTGCGTGGTTTTTTTTGTTTTTGTTTTTGTTTTTTTTTAAGATTGCATCTACAATCACAGGAAATCTCTGGAATATTCTATCTTAAGAGTAAAAGATTGAGCCAGACATGTTAGTGCACACTGGTAATCCCAGCAGTTTGGGAGGCTGAGGCAGGAGGCTCACCAGTTCAAAGTCAGCCTCAGCAACTTAGTGATGCCCTAAGCAACTTAAATAAATAAATAAATGTGCCGGGGATGTGGCTCAGTGGTAAAGAACCTCTGGGTTTAATTCCTGTTACAAAAAGAAAAGAGAAAAAGACTAGAGATTCAGTGACAGGGATCTTGCCCTTAATTTCAGAACATTCTGAAGTTTATGAGTAACTTTTTTAGCTTTGATTTTGTTTATTTTCTATTCATTTTTTGCAATACTGGGGATTTAGCCACCAAGTTACATCCCCAGTCCTTTTAATTTTTTAATTTTTTTTAAATTAAAAATTAAAAAGTTGCTTAGGACTTTGCTAAGTTGCTGAGGCTGGCTTCCAAAGTGCAATTTTTCTGTCTCAGCCTCCCAAATCACTAGGAATACAGACGTGCACCACCAGTCATACACCACATCCATTGTGTATGACTATGTCTTTCCTGTTTGTAGATCATTTTTTTCAATTTTAAAAAGCTAGGATTTAACTTAAAAATAAATATGTGGAATTTTGGTTTTATGTTTATATTTTCTAATTTTTCTATGTTGAACAGACTGTTCCATAACTCCTTGAACTCATCAATTCTATAACACTAGTCCTTTTCCCCCATTAACTAGCCAAATGTGCTTCCACAAGAGTCTGTCGCTGAGAATGTGCTTGGGGGGAATGAGGCTTCTGCAGGGTGTGGGTGTGAGAGAGAGAAACACAAAAGAGATAGAGAAAATTAGCATAACAGCTGTTGCACCTCCCTGGACAAATAAACCCAGGAAATGTGCAAGGATGAGGGCTTCAGGAGAGGCTTGCTCCAGGGTGTCTGGGGAATCCTCCTGGCTGCGTTGTCCTCTGAAAGCCCCAGGATACTGAGACCAGCAGGAGACTGACAGCAGGCACTGATGCTGGAAAAAAGAAGCCAGTCTGGCAGCAGCTGTTGAGTTAGTATTAACCCTTTGGACTACAAAAGCCCATCCAGCAGCCCCCAGCGGCTAACCTTCCTGGGCACTCTTGCCCAGGCTGCCCACCCTCCACGTGGTACCCAGTTGCTCAAGACTCTGAACCCAAAGCAAGAAGCCACCTCGGTCCAGAGCTTTGTACCTCCAGCTCTTCACCCTTCTCTTTTTAAAATGCCTACTATCTCTGTTTCACCTCCTTCTGAAATCCACTCATTAGTTTGGGGAAATAGGATTCTTTTGATCTTTAATTACCTACCTACTCATAACTGATAACTTTCCTTGAAAAAATAAAAGTCACCATTGCTGTTGGTTTGATATGCCCCTTCACTGAACAGAGCTTCATCCCACTGTGGCCAATCAGGAGGGGATGTAGGGTAGGGCGGAGGCAACAGAGAACAAGACAAAGAGAGACCGAGAGACACAGAAGCCAGAGAGCAAGAGTCGGACCCAGATACCCAGGTGGGAAGAGGCAGAGGGAGGAGACGATGAATTCTCTAAGCTTCCACAGCTCGGGAAGGATTTCAGCACAACCCTAGTTATGTTCTAAACTCAGACTGCATACAATGCCCCTGGCGCTTCTGCCTTCACACAGGTAAAAGTGGGAAGTATGCTCCTCTTCCCTGACAGTCACAGACTCTCTCTCAGCACTGGTGACCTGTCCTGCATGCACATCCATTATCTCAAAGGCCTCGCCTCCCAGCCAGCCTTCAGAGTGAGTCCTGAAGTGAGGAACAGGAGTCGCTGGGCACTTAAGGATGTTTAAATTACAAAAATGTAAGCATCAAGCAGATGAGATGGGGGGGGCAAAAGATGTAGGGAAGTGGTTCAGGGGGTGGAGGGGGACACCGGAGAACAAGTTCAAAGGAAATACGTGCTATGGCCAACAACTGGGAAGAAGCCAAGCCTGGTGGTGCACACCTGCCACCCTATCTACTCAGGAGGCTGAGGTAAGAGGATTGCATGTTCAAGGCCAGTCTGGTTCACTTAGTGAGAACTTGTCTCAAAGTGAAAACTAAAAAGGGCTGTGGATGTAGCTCAGAGTTAGAGTGCTCCTAGGTTCACTCCCAGTACCGAAAGAAAGAAAAAAAAAACTGGAATTAATGGTCTGTTGTTGTATCATTTAGATGCATCTGGGTACAACTGCATCATGGAAGAAATAATGTGTACAGTTCACTGGCAGCAGTAGAATGCTTGGTAACTGGGCAGAAGACCCTTTTACAATGCAAACACACACACACACACACACACACACACACACACACGCCTAACCCAATAGTCTCATCAGCACCCAAAAGCCCCAACAAGGCAATTGCACATACCAAACAGGTATAGAGCTCATTAGAAAAGAAAGTTAGAGTTCAACACTTACGAAAGGCAGGTTTTAAATCCCTGAGGCCACATCCATTTAAATCTTATCAGTTTGCTTTGGCACAGGCATTATTTGAGGTCTGAGCTGGTGTGACAGCCGCTTTCCATAAGGAATTCCCATCCGCCAGCTAGTTGCTAAACTCAAAGTCCACATCCCCTGATGGTGGGCAATGCGTTTCCACATGATGAGGCCACCAGGAACTCCGGCAGCACCTCAGATTTTCCTAGCATCTTGACCCACGTCTCATTCGATCCTCTCTGAGCACAGGCAGCCTGAAGGGGCAGGGAAGAGGCAAGGTGGCCGAGTCTGCATGCAAGCAGAGTGATGTCCCAGGTGAGCACCTGGGTGGAGTCAGAAGTAGAGCCCCAGCTCCCTGGGTCTTGCTGTGAGGCCTGGGGAGGCTGCGCAGGGACTGAGCCTCTTTAAAGTCATAGCTCTGCCAGCTCAGGTGATGGTCACACTCCCCCACCCCCCAGGGCCTTTGCTGGTTTGTCTGCCTGGAATGCCCATCTCCCCGGCCCACAAGGACAGAACAGATGCATCTTTCTCCTTCTTCACATCAGTCAAATATCACCTCCTTGGAGAGGTC